ACCTTATTGCCTGTGACCCATGTCTGCTTTCAAGGAATATTGGAACTGTGAAAGGATGGCCTTTCAGGTGTTGTTGGACTACAACTCCCATTATTCCTAATGACTATGCTGGTGGGGTATCTGAGGCTATCCAGAGAGTCACAGACTCCCCTTTCACTTCTAAGTTGCGTACAAAGGACCCTAGATTACAAATGTTTTATTTCAGAAGTTTAGCATGGTGACCGTTCTTGGTCTTGCACCCTTTAAAATGACACATAAATTTGTAACCCCCCTCTCCCCCACCCATGAGTAAAACTATCAATTCCATTGGGGTTAGGGCTGGATAAGAAATAAGTATATTACTTACTTTTAACAACTGAAGTTCACTCTATGGGCCAGGAGCTCTCACTCAGTTCAACCTACATCACAGGGTGGTAGTTTGGAGTGGGGGAACTGGACAGTGGGAATGCTACCTACGCCACATTGAGCTCCTGAAGGAAATGCCAGATATAAAGCCAAGAAAATTAAATTAATGAAATAGTTAATCTCTCTCTCGACCAGCTACATATATTTGTATTTTGACAGCACTCAAGCTGATTTTTTAAAAAAAAACTAGAGCAATCCTCCTCTAAGTTGCTCACAAGTGTTTCAGAACCTGTCTTCTGCAGCTCTGATTCCCAACCAGCACGGCTTGTCTGAGAACAAGAACATACACCAAAAGCCCAATTTACCCTGACTTAGGGCAATCTTCTATAACCTCCCCTCTAGCTTTGACTTGAGGAAACTCTAATAGCTCTGCAATGCCGTATCTTTCTCAGTTACTGTAGCTGACACTTAGGCACAACTATCCTAGTTCACAACAAATTCCTGAGCAGACACTGCTGCAGAAGCACCTCTTATCAGCTGCCATTTTGACACTGCATATAAGTAAACCATCTTTCCTCCAGCACCACCAAACAAGGGGTGTGTACAGCTCACCCTGTAGGTAATCCTTATTTAGCAACCACAATTGGAATCGGCAACTTGGTTGTTAAGCAAGGCTGTTAAGCAAAGTGAAATCGCAGTTGTGCTTACAATCTTACTTTGGCTTTCTTTTGCTTCAGACTTGCAGTCCTAAATGTGAGGATTGGTCAGAAAGTTACTTTTCATCAGCGTCACAACTGCAAACAGTCACTAAGTGAGGCAGTTACTAAACAAGGAGTACTTGTACTTTAAAATTAATAACACAGTACCTTGTACTTGAAAGCACGTTGCCAACCAAGAAGGGTACGGGGGATATGGTGGACAATCCTCTCCAGCCATCTGACAAGGATTAAAGTTCCAT